CAGGACTCCAGGTGGGGTCTCAGGAGAGTGGAGTAAAGGGGCAGAATCCCCTCCCTCGCCCTGCTGCCCACGCTGCTCTGGATGCAGCCCAGGACACGGTTGGGTTTCTGGGCTGCCAGCACACATTGCCGGCTCATGGTGAGCTTCTCATCCACCAGCACCCCCAAGTCCTTCTCCTCAGGGCTGCTCTCGAGCCACCCCCCGCCCAGCCTGTAGTTGTGTTTGGGATTTTCTCCTGGTAATACTCTGCATTGAAATAAAACGTGCAAAACAGATTTAGGGAAGCATCAGACACCCCTATGATTAACTCAGCAGGTCCATCGGTAATTACGAAAAGATGATTAACACTGTCCCTGGGAGAAGAGACAACAGAGAGCCGCTCTCGGCAGCACACCCCACCGCAAGGACGGGGCCTCGCCAGCAAGGCGACCACCACCGCAACGCAACTACCCTCAGACGCCGTCAGCCAGGAAGGAATACATTTATTTTTAAGACTTAAAACCACTATTCTTAATAAACAGCTTGTTTCTCAGCACGCCACACCCCACCGTGGCAAGATGGTTTGGTCTTTCCATTCCTTTCCAGTCCTGCCAGCACCTGGGAGCAGAAATCACTGAATTTCTAATCAGAAAAGCTCAGCAGCAGCACGGGTCGGGAACGAGATCGGGTCTGCTCTCTCCGCGCTCCGCCGCGAGCCTGGAAGCACCAGAGACAAGCGAGCCTGTCTTCCAGCGCCGATTCAAGGAGATCTTTTTGCTAGCTTCACGGTGCAATAAATTAAGGCACCAAAAATCCAGGAGTCTCCAAAGGTAAAGCCCGTGCGGATAGGAAGCGGTTCCAGCTTTTAGGAGAGATGTTTCTCCTACGGCACGGTGAGAATTTGCACGGTTTTAGGGGGGGGAAGCCCTGCTTCCACATCTCCATAACTTCACAGAGGGGTTTTTCAGGGTGCTGCAAAAGCGTCCCCGCTCGCAGCGAGACGACAGACAAACAGGGGATCACGAAGCGACATCACGAAGCGACATCCTGAGATTTGAGACCAGACAACTCCTCGCAGCGCTGGGGCTGGCCCAGCCTCGCTAACGGGAAGAGCCAGGACAACGCAAGCTCCCGGCTCGGGAGCCCAGAGCTCAGCTGAAAGCCTGAGGGAACAGCTTGGTCATTCCCTGGTCCTGCAGAGACGTAATTAGGAAGTAAATCGGCCAAGCTCCGCGTTTTGTCAGCCCCGCTAGCAGCATTTCGCCATCCGAGCACGTCCCGTGGAAAGCATCGTGTCCCGCTTTCAGCTTCCCTGTAATTCTTGTGTGAGTGTCACAAATCCACCTCCCTTCATAATTATCTTTCATTAAATAGCAAGAGTCAAAAATTCAAGCACAGCCCAATTCATTTGTACACTTAGGGTTGGGTTTTTTTTTTTCTCTACAACGTCAGTAAAATCTATAGGAGTAAGCTGCTTTATTAAATAAATTCTGAAAGCCATTTGCCCCCTCTCCCAGCTCGGGCGCCCTGCCCGGGCCCGTGGCAG